TATAACATGGTTCAAAAGAGTGACTGGAATTCTTATGGGTTTTTTGTCGCATCTTATTTCAATGGAATGCCTTTCTGTACTAAACATTCATTAAAGTGATCAAGTGGAGTAGAGAAATGACAGTGTATTATTAGCAGAGGGCAACCATGAACACTATGTTTTACAGCATGCATATTAATACACATTACAATTCCTTCAATTAATGGGCTGTAAATTTCAGACTGCATAAAAACAGTAACGCATTTCAAAACAAGAATATGCGATGTTATGTTGTAACTACGATACTAGCCTCAGGATTACATGTCCTTTTGTGGTTTACGTGCACACAATGATATTTGATTTTGATGAATGTCACTGAAACTCAAGGCATGGCAGTGCGTGTTGTTTATTTGGCGTCGCAGCGTGAATGCGTGTGTGCCACCACTGCACACGCAGCCAGCAAAAATAACACAAACCAGGGAGCGCACGAATAAAGAAAGAGAGACATCGCTGGGGGAATAGAGAGAGAGGCAAAAGCTCGGTCGCACTGCTGCCTTTGCTCACATTCGAGCCGAACCAACCATGGCCACAACGGGAGGGGGCTCCTGGTGCCTTGGGCATCCCCTTGGTGGAAATGCCTCCTCCACCACCCATGCGAAATAACAAAGATCCCAGGTAAACAGCTTCACTGCCACTTAGGTAACGGCACAGGTGTGTGTGGCCCTTTACTGCAGAGTATGCCATTTTGCACAGGGGTCCCGACATACGACGATTGGCCTGGCACGCGATATGATGGGGTTTTTTTTTGCCATGTGCATAATGTCCTTCTTGTCAAGGCACGTTTTCAGGAAAATGCCATGAGCTTCGTAGTGGCTGTACATTGCCAAAGGCGCAACGCGCATGCATAAAGGCACAAACACTATGGCAAACGAGCATTCATAATTTTATTTAATAAAAAAAGTGGATATTTAGTTACAGACCTGTTGGGCCACCAGTCATTAATTTAAAAGAATACCGAGTATTTGTCAAGTGACTCACAATGAAAACTTATTCAGTAAACACGGACTAGTTTTTTATTTATCAGCACAACATAAAAATTCATTTTTATTATTTTAAACTATAAAAAGACAAGAGATTGTGAATATAACTATTGTACATATTCTTCGTGTTTAATTTTGGTACAGGTAAAACCCATTGGGCAATAAATGCAAAAAAAAATGTTTTATGGGGACTTGGTTATAAAATAGAAACCTGATGACAACAAAAACACACAAACAAAACTATCCAAAAACAGCCATACAAATCAGAGTCTTTATTTATACTAGAGGAATCCTATGAGCCAAAAAGCTATTTTTTTACAGATGTCCAGTAGATCCTGACTCTTTTTCACAGATGTACAAATGGTCAAGTTCAGAAATGGAACAACCAGCACAAAGAATAACAAGGCTATTAGAGCTCGCTTCATTATAACTTTGGCACACTGCCCTCCCGAACATGACCCTCCACTTCGTCTTTTGACTTAATCTTCACATTTTAGAATAGACACCAAACTAAACTTCGCCATATATACAACTCCATATTTTTACACTAAAGTACTAAAAGTGAATGAATGGCAAAATACATACAGGACCTCTATATTGGGGAAGAAGTGCTAATAAAAGTGAGCTCGTATATAAATGTATCTCGTTAAAATTTGTTTTACCAATCTCAACAGAATGCATACACGCAGTAGTGTATATCAGCAGAGGCCACACGTTTTTTTTTTAATCCTGAAACGAGCGCTGTTATTTGTGAAATTTAATCAAATTATGGCATCAAAGTAGGACGCACGTGCGGCACCAGGAAGACGCATTGGACCCGTAAAGAAATGTAACAGATGCACAGACGTGTGCACTGAACACAGGCTGACAAAATCAAATTAATTTCCCCCAGCTGAGACAGTGCAGGCAGGCGGCATTGGGGGGGAGCGCGTGGCGATGCATATGGCTCCCCAGTAAGTAGCGGGTGGGCAGAGGTGGCGGGCTGCGTCTGTAGGCACTGCCTGGCATGCAATTCACGTTTCCGTTGCCCACTGAAAGACACTTATTAAACCTCAGAATATCGCAGCCAACCGACACGGCAACGCCATCAATCCTGACTGCAACACCACAAGCCACAAAATCTGAATTGGTCAATCCATTTAACTGGAAAAACCACGACCGTGCGTCGCTGCTGTTTTCGATTAGAAAAGTGTGTGGCAGTGTTGTGTGCAGGGCATTGCTTGCGAGACATAGCAACCCAGTGCCTCGCTGGTAAATTTTTAGCCCTTCGGCGATCTACTGCTGGATAAAAGCCATCCCACACTTTGTCAGTTAAAATGGGTTGTTTTTTTATTATCTAACTTATTATGCATGTAATTTAGTAATGAAACAGCCCGAATGTTTGCAATCCCTATTCGACCATTTTTCAAAAAGTTAATGGTCAATTTCCAGGGGGTGGGGTTGCCTGCCAATGTTAAGAAAGAATATTCGAGTAAGAAAATAATTGCTTGCAGCCCTTTGTTACTCTACTGTTGGATGAAGGCCTCCCCACACTTGTCAGTCAAAGGAGTTGCATGGCCATACTTCACCACACTAGTTAGTGCAGGTTGGTGAAGTGCAGGTTGGTGAAGGGCAGAGACCAGGAGTGGTTCAGATATCACTCTCGTCACTGATGTTAGCCGTGCACAACATTTGAAGTCAGGTCACTGGGTTCTTAAGGCAGTGAACGAATTACTCCATCTTGTACTGTATTCTAAAAAATATATATAAATTACATCCATTCTCAATCAACCAACGGATTGAAGGCCACCCTCCACACCACATCAGTCACGAAGGGTTTTTTTTTCAACTCTACTTCACCACACTTGTCGATGCATGTTGGTAAAGGAGGGGGCGGGGAGGGAATGATCAGTTCTGGTATCACTTGCCACGCATGGATGGTATCACTGGCCGAGAATCTAAATTGAGTCGACAAGTTCAGAGCACAGCACGCCCATCCCCCCCATTCCCGTATTAATGCCCAGCAATTAAACAAGAACAAATACAGTGGTGTCAGCATTGCCTCTCCCCACTCAATACTATCTCCTATCTCAAAACGATGTTCAATATGTCCAGGCCATGGTAATGTGGGCACAATTAAAATGCTACTTTAATTGAATTTTTGAATATTTGGGTGACGTTTCCTTCGCGTTTGTTGCATGCTGAAAAGTAAAATGCAATTTATTTACCTGCAATGGGTAGGTGTAGGTATGACTTCTCTTTAGTATTAGCTTATTTTACCAATCATTTGCATGGTATGTTATGAAAAATATACACATTAGCTCGACATCACTTTTCTTACCACTCTATTCTGCCTTTATAGACACTGACCAACAAACAACCAATTGAACAATGCGTCACTGTAAACAGGCAGATTAAAGTGATTGCTTTGTTTAGCACACTGAAAACCACAGAGCGGGTGAAGAAATCTAAGCGAAGATTATCTGAACCTGTGTAAGTCCCCACACGATCCCAAACAGAAATCAACTAGTGACAACCACAGAGAAAACTGAACCCACAATCTAAAGAGGCACCGTGAACACTACGCCGGAACTGACCTTTGGCAATAAACTCGTGCAAACACTTGGTGCGGATAGGTACACAGGGAATGGTATGCTCTTAGCCATAACAGGTAATACTACTGCATTCTGCAACAAACCACAACACAAGTACGATACTGTGGCCCAATGTATTTTTGGTAGCAGCCCTGTGACAAAAACGGTGGTCAAAGCCTGCCATACCCCCCCCCCCCCGCCCGTCTCTACCAGGGCTGACTAAATGACTATTTGTTTAGGACCCGATTGTTTGGGCACCATGGTAGTGCTATCGTCCATCATCATAGTAAAGCGTGCTGTGGAATCCTCCAACTCTCAAAGCTGGCTGTAAATCACCTGCTGACAACGGACGCACACGCACACAAAATGCTCCCAAACATCAAGATGAATGATCGAAGGAAGGTGACCAGTATCGCCCCGGTCATGTTTTCCTTTTGCGAATCCTACATTTTAAAAAGAATCACAAGGAATTCCCTGCTAAAATGTCTGTTTGTAAATCATTTTAAGTGCAGGCAGCGCAAAAGCTATGTGCAGTATTACCCTGCTGATCTTCCATGCAATGCTGCAGTTTATCTCGGAAGTAATAGTTTTGCCTGGCACATTAACAACACATGGCAGGATATATTGAGTATGGTTTTTTTTGTGCTTCATTTATGCGACGCAATATATCACACGTATTGTTCGCGCCATGGAGAAATTATTATCTAGATCAATTGCACATTTTCACGTTGAAATAAGAGAGATTTTGCAGGTAAGATGAGCTACAAAAACACAGAACTTCTCCCAAGCACAACCACAGCAACATTTGCTTATAACCATAAATATTTAAAATGTGTTAGTGGTATGACGACATAGCCTCCTCAATCTTAAGGTAAGCAATAACGCATGACTTAGACTTCAGTTCAGCATTACCTTGCAATCATAAAACAAACACAAGCTATGGATTTAATGCATCAGGGCTGATGATTGCAGGATTAGCAGACTGACTTATAACAATAATAATAATGAAAAAGAATTATGCATTTGTGATATGTTTGTTGTTGTAGGAAAACCCTATACGTTTATTTATACTTTAGTACTTATATTCTTGGTTCTTTCGGTAAAGTCACGTTGAAGGGAAACAATAAAATGAATCACTGCAGTCACGAAAGCTTTAAATCAAAACTTTAGTACTTATTTGAAATTATATATTTTGTTTAAAAGGTTAAACTAAAGCAATTTGAATGAAATCCTTTGATATTTTAGTTCCCCTATTGTAGTGTTCATTGGATGCTGTGCTTCCATCAAATACCCATTACAAACGTAAACAAAACCAGTCGACTTCAAAATACTTTAACAACCGGGGAGGCAGGGTGGGAGAGGGGGATTTCAAAATTCAATGTGCACAGTCGTCACAGTTCCTACTCACCTGCACGTCACCATCTCTGGTTGCTTTTTCTCCTAACAGATGTTCTGCCTCCAAGTTCTCAACACCGCATGTCTCCTTCCAAGGGCGGTCCACTGCTCCGTTCATGCCGTAGATGTCTACGAGCTCTGCACTGTTGCTGGAACGGAGAGGTGACCAAATTGGAGGTGCTTGCTTTTCTGCTTGCAGAGATTTCTCGGCCAACCTGGTTCCACTATTTATCAAAATGGAAGGTTTCACAGACACGACTTGGCTTTCCTTAGGTTGCTTCGAGTCGGAAGATTTTAAAGAATGCCCTTCAGTGTTGACTTTACTTACAGCAAAAGTACCACTCTTTTCAGAAACCAAAGTTTGGAAACCACCAAAAGGAGGTTTCGAGTCCAAATCTGTCTCGTCATCAGATGGGCTGAAACTTTCAATCGGTTCAGCAAATCGGACCGTCGGGCGGTGATATGGTTTTGTTTTTTCCACTTCAGGCTTGTCGGTCAATACAGTTCCTTGACCCGTACAGAGAGAGCTTGTTTTAATTGCAGGTATCTGGCTGCCGGGTGATGGTTTGTCTGACAGTGTCTTAACACTGTGCAGATCATCCACCTCAGGGGATTCTTTGGAAAAAGGCCTCTGGGTTGAGTTTCTTTTCTCCATCCCAGACTGATGTCCCAGACCCCCGACAGAAAGGATAGGCTTCACTTCTGAGAGCTGGCTGCTGTAGAGCATTCTTCCTGGCCCAGGCTGACCCCCAGCTGGAAGCGGAGGTTTTGTTGAGAAAACTTGGCTCGTGTAAGCTGGTCGAATGCTTGGCTGTGGAAGAGAACTCCTCTCCATGCTCAAAGTTGGCAAGGAGCTGCTGGGAATGGTTGGCTTTGGAAGCCCAGAAGTGGGTCTGGACTTGGGTCCAGCCAAAATTGCCGGCATGGTGAGGCTGTCTATGGCCTTCACTTGAATATCCAGAGTGTTTAATGTTACCCAGATACCGCCTTCGTAAAAAAGACGAAATAACCGAATAAATATTTCTCACAATAGTCGATTGTCGCCGAGACTTTCCAATGCAAAAGTGTTTAGTGATTTAAACAACAACAACAACAACAACGCTTTCAGGACATTTTGTTAACAGACGACCATTATTTAACGGATCCAGTTGCAAATGCGCAAATCTATTTTGCCTGCCGCGCCGGCTTTCGCCTCCGATCGATTCCAGTGCGCAGAGAACATCTTCGAGTCAGAGCCAATAACTTTTTTTTTACGGGATGAAATCCGCACTAAACACCCTGCGGCATCCTCGGCTGGTAAGCCGAGGATTATTTGGGCTGCTGTGCGCGTCTGGTGGCGTACCCGCAGTGGCAGCAACGCTGACTGCCAAGCGCTCCGCCCGACGGGCTGAATATAACAAACGCACGAGTGTCACCGCGGCTCAAATCACAGCTGATGTCAGCGCTCTGATTCACGGTCACGCAGGTCTCTTTTTTTCTCTCTCACTCGCTCGCCAGCCTCTCTCTCTCGCTCGCCAGCCTCTCTCTCCTCCCCACTGTGGAACAACCCACCCGCAAAGCAGCCCAGCCCATCGGCTCACCCCGCTAACCCACCCCCAACATTACCCCCGCTCCCCCCACACATCCAGCACACCCAACATTTCCTCCCACCCAAACCCATAAGCTCCTACCCCCCACACCTCCCCCCAACCTTTCGCCTGTAATTCTAAACATATTTCCGATGCGACTGTGCCACTTACAGTAAATGACATTTTGCCGTGGTTTTGAAACAAGACAACCAGCACCAGCGGCAGCTGCTGCTGTGATCTCCCCCCCACCACCCCACCGGATATATTTAAGCTGCAAAAACAGCAACGACGTGGACGCACCTGACTAATGCCCAAATATTCCTGTTCCGTTTGCGGAGCTGCCCGCCACTTTTCTTCCCCGGGAATAAAGAGGAGGGCGGACGTGAGTCGCAGAAGGCGCGGTGATTCACCGAAACGCTCAGAGGAATTGCAGTGGCAACACAAAATCCCCCCCCCCCCTCCGCGCGATGAAGTTTATAAACAACACGCGCAGCGTATTAGTCATTTCCATCCCAACAATTGCTTTTTTTAAACGCGTCTCGTTATACGAAGTCAAGGTAGGGGTAAAGCTTTCAACGGATATAAAACTGCCACAAAATTTAACGACGTTCTCGCATACTGCACCGCTTACAGTACGCGCGAAGCCATCCCTTTTTTTGCCAAGTATCTGGCTGCATCGAGTCCCAGTTGCTGGCAACGTGCAGGGGCAAAACATCTCATTGGTCTAAATGGCATGTAGCTTGTGCCAACCACTTCAACACAATGGGCCCGATCGACAACGGCGGCTCCGACATCAGTGGCATCATTCTTCGCATTCTTTTTCCACAAAACGGGACTCTTCCGAGTAAAGTTATGACTCATGCTGCCACTGCAGCGGTAGCAGCAGCACGGATGTAAATAAATCTGACCGCTGACACACTCTAGCTACAACAGACAAATCCCATTAGGCCGGGGAGTTTATTAGATTATATTGTGATTTGTTACAGTGGCACCAGGAGGGGGCGGTTATTTTATTTTCCAAAAGCCAAACACAGGGACCTTTCAAACTTAATGAATCGTCAAGGATTTTTAGGCAATGTCACGGCTAAAATACGGGAGAGGTTTATTCGCGCATGCCGAAGCCCCAATCGAATGTAGTTTTCTTCGAATCAGAAATACTGTGCTTTCGGTTTCACACTTCTGTTGTGTAAGCATGCCAGGATAGCTTACGCGAACGCAATATGTTTGGCATTTCCACACGTTGTAATGTTTTTTTTTTTGCAAACGCACTTTCAAAGTTAATGTTTCTGTCCCAATGAGAGTACATGTTCGAGCACTTAAATATCCCAAACGTAAACGAAATACGCTGCTGTTTTACACACCGCATCAGGTGCTAAATTAAGGCCAAGTTGACGTAGAGGAGGCCCAGAACCGGTTCAGATAATCACCACCGATGTTAGCCATAGCCAACAATCGAACCCTGCTCGCCAGCTTCACGTGACCGACATTACGAGCGACCGTTTACAGATTTGCACGCCCAAGCTGGGACGACTTCCAAATTCAGAAATGGCACGCTCTCGCTTATTCTCAATATAAATGCTGATTGTTTAATTCCCCACGCCGTAATGCAACTGTGCAGTAATAATTTTAAAAGGGGAAAAAACTATCATCCTATTTGCAGCAGATTCCTCTCGCACGTCAAGGTTTTTTCGATGAGGTTAACCAACCCATGCATGTTATCATCTTTTTGATGTCATACTGCTTTCAAGATACATTATATATATACACTCCAACACATCGAATTGCCTAATCGTGGCAAACAAACCCATCTATCACATGTTTAGCACCGCACGTGATTTAAAGAGCTACATAACCCCAACAACCAGGAATCTTGATAGTGAAGGTCCCTTCGCAGGCTTAATGGACAGGTAATGGGGGGCATGCCTCTGTGGGTCATCTGGTGGACATAGGCGACACACGCACACGACCATAATTAGACTGCTATCGTGGCCAAAGCTCTGATAGCATGCTGTTAGCAGGCGGCAATGTGGTGTTAGGGGCTGTCCATAAATGACGTCACGCACCTGGGGGGGGGGGGGTCAGACATGTGTGACGATGTGTGACGAGGGGGGGGGGGTGAGAAATGTGACGTCACATCAAAATGCGCAACTTTAAATAAATATAGACAACACGTTCTACTTAATTAAATAGACGTTTTAATAAATGTTTTCTCCTACAACATCAGAGTGCAGCGGCACATTAAATACGCACTACAATGACAATAGTTTAAAGCCATTTGAGGCATGTTTATTTTTTCTGGGGGGGGGGGGGGGGGAGCAGTGCTTTATGACGTCATATTTGAGGGGGGGGGTCTGACTTTTTGTGACGCCGTGTGACGATGGGGGGGGGGGGTCAAAAATCGTCCAAAATCGCGTGACGTCATTTATGGACGGCCCCTTATTTGTTTGAGTTTGTTGTCCTTCCTCCGTGCACCTCCGATTCGCACGGTTGGCTACGTACGGTGCGAAATAAGTTCAACGTACATAGTAGATACATTTGGTCACAAGAATATCATGCAATAATGGAGTCTTCTTTTGTTGTGTACAGATTCTTTTTTTTTCGATTTAAAGCTTTCGTGACTGCAGGGATTCATATTCTTGGTTCTTTCGGTAAAGTCACGTAGAAGAAAAATAATAAAATAATAAAAAGAAAACATAATACAATTTTCACGACGTTTCGATTGCAACACAAGCAATCACAGCCCCTTTCGTTGCAACAATAGCATGCTATCAGGTGCTCAGTGCGCCCTTAGAAAGTCCTATTGTTCGATAAACACAGGAGTAAAGAAACGATTATCTAAGGGGCCGTCCATAAATGACGTCACGCGATTTTGGATGATTTTTGACCCCCCCCCCCCTTCGTCACACGGCGTCACAAAAAGTCAGACCCCCCCTCAAATATGACGTCACAAAGCTCTGCCCCCCCCCCCCCAAAACCGTATTTCCATTTTGAAAATAAAAAAAACTGTTGTCATTGTAGTGCGTATTTAATGTGGCGCTGCACTCTGATGTTGTAGGAATGTTGTTATAACAACCAGTGTTGTTATAACAATTCTATATTTATTTAAAGTTGCGCATTTTTTTACGTGACGTCACATTTCTCAACCTCCCCCCCCCCCTCGTCACAAACGTCTGATCCCCTCCCCCCTCCCCTAGGTGCGTGACGTCATTAATGGACGGCCCCTAAACACATTCGTCAATAGCACTGCGTTAAAAGAAAAAAAAACCGTAAGGAAAATATATTTAATCCGTTTAAAGGCAGTATTAATGAGGGATGTGCTGAGTTTTTTTTCTTTTGGGTTAATTGTGCGCCGCTGTCGATGCGAGATCACGGAATAATTTGTTTAACTTGAACGAGATCGATGGATGCAGGAGTGACCACGAGATGTAGGTCTGAGATTGTGACTCAACAGACCCAAACCGGTCAAACAGATGCCTGCGAATTAGGCTTCACCAATGGTGATCTAATGCGATGATGACATGATTGATATTATGAACCAAATATGTGCATGAAAATGAAAACTGACATTCTCAAAAATTGCCAAAAAAATACTGTCTGTATATATATAAAAATAAATCTATATATTCGTGTATTCACAAGACTGTACAATGTATGTATGCTACAGAAATCAACATGATTGCGCAATACCTAGCAAGGCCGTAATTATAATATGCTCAAAATGCCCCCCCCCCCCCAATATATTGCTATAAAATAGATTTATATTAGATTTCTAATAGATTTCTATTGTGTTATATATAGTTTATTATTTTATTGTTTCCCTTCAACGTGACTTTACCGAAAGAGCTAAGCTTATAAATAGATTTCTGTTTATATGATTGTGGTTATGGTTGTACTTTATTAATCCCTAATCTCTGCCATTACATACAATGAAACAAGAAAAGGTAAAAAAAAGAAAAAACAGAGCAATGTAATACAATACACTATTAGACATTATTGTTAAAAATACATAAAACGTCCATGCTATGTGTTAGTGATTTTTTTTTTATATTTTAAGCAGGATATTCGTGTAAAAAATTCTGGGGGGGGGGGGGAGGGACACCCCCAGACCCCCTGGAAGATTTGGTCCCCCCCAATGTTGACTCCATGGCTACGGCCTTGGTACCTAGTGTAGTACAGTCGGTCACTAGGTCATGTGTGGTGGAGTATGGTGGGGTATGGTGTGGGTACTTGCGAGAAGCCTCGCCATCTCACCCCCCAGAGAGAGAGAGAGAGAGCAGTCTCGAATGGAGATTATTCCGCCAGCAGTGGAGTGCACGTGCACCTGCAGAGCTGCGCCTTGCTGCGTTTTGTAAATATATAAATCCATCCAGTTAAACTACCAATGGGGCCGCCTTTGAGCGATGGATTTCACAGTCCAAACAAGACGTTTCAGGTGTGTAACCTGACCCTGTGCGCGCACGCATTTCATTAGTCCCATACAATGGCACGTCAAGAAGGGCGGGCCGATCAAAAAGCAGCCCTCTTTCCAGAGTTGAAAAGAGAAGAACGTGATGCTTTTGTTACCTTTTTCTTACACCGAACACTGCCCGGACAGGTGTGTCTTCAAAGTTTTACTACGCGAGTGCTCAACTCCCACGGTGGTGGGTGGGGTGGGGTCAAAATACTTGCAAGCTGTAACCCTCCCCACCTCTCTAATCTTTCAATACGAGGATTAACGTTATCTTAAAACACAAGCACCGACAGCAGCTGAGATCCATCTTCATATGACGTCAAAAAAAACACAAGCGATCTGTGTTAGTTGAAGCTTATCTCTGTGGCACGTTATAAAGAGCTCGTGCAGTTCGCGCGGTCATTGCTTTAGCAGTTGTACAAATGGTGTTTTAATATCCCATTGAACACTCGCCGTGAATGCACGCCAGTCCCAGCCATTGCCCACGCATGTCGCAGGGCT